CAGCCATCTGCAGGTGATCTGGTAAGGGCTGACTGCGTGCCAGCATCTTGTAGGCCATAATCTGAGCCCTGAGTTGGTGCAACTGGTTCTGGTTGAAAGGGGTGGGTCCGCCTGCGCCAACTGGTCCACCTCCCGCAACACCGGGTCCGCCTGGTCCCTGGGGACCCCCACGGTTAGGCTGACCCATTCCCTGGTTAGGATCCCCACTAGCCTCCATAGCGCCAGGCCCGGGGACAGAGGGACCACCAGGCATCATGGGGCCAGAGGGAGGGCCGTTGGCTGGGACAGGACTAGGTGCGTGCTCCGAGCCTCCCAATGGAGAGGGGTAACCTGAGGAACACAGAACAGATGCATGATGGGTATGCCAAAAACATAGAGCTTAAAAAGGTTTTTTATATGATACAGAGGACATACTGACCATGAGTAATTTTTGGAAGCTTCAAAGCATTTTAACAAATAAGTCAAATTTGGGCATAATTACAATTAATATACGGACTATAAGCTATGTAACATGTAATTTTATTGTCTTTATTTTAGTCTACAAGTCCAAATACTGGCCAGAAAATGACAGCTTAACTAAACACTCTATACTCTGCTCAAACACACTGCTGTCAAGTCATTTCTGTCTTCCTATGCATGTGTCTCTCTTCATATCCTGCTCTTTTGCTTACTGACTATGTGGTTTTGTAGATGCAGCTGCTTTTGTTGCTGTCTGAAAGGGGAAGCCCCTCAACCCCGCCCCTCCCGTTGTCCTGCCCACTGCTTTCTGCTCATGCAGCCAAAACAGCAACACAAGAGGAGAAACCGGCTAGATGAGTTCACACACACTGTACGGTATGTCTGTGTGACTCAATTAGCTGTTCTTCCTGTGTGGGGATTTTCATGGACAACAAGGAAATCTTTAATGTTAATCTGTCTTTACCCATGTTGACTACGTACACCACTCATGTTATTTGTGGTTTCAAACTGGCAACCTTCAGACTGCAAGCACATCACAAAGATATTAACACAAGACCACATCTAATCTCTAGAATTTACAGTGCAAAACACAATATTATGAGATGCGTTACCTTGGGAATGTTGGTCCATTGGGCTTGGAGGGGGTCCCATGCCACTGTGCCCCCCTGGTCTCATGCCCATGCCCTTCATCTGGCTATAGCGGGGGTCATCAGGCATTCCCTTCTCATGCATGGCTTCCATGGGCTGATTAAAAGACAGAGGATAATCATTTGTGAACAAACTTTAATGTGAGGTTGGAACATTTTTTAATTGCCACAAAAGTATATATTATACACAGGCTTAGTTTGTAAGCCATGTTGTAAAGGATGTAAACTCTAAAAGGTAATAATTAGATTACGATTGTCAACAACAGATACCAACACATGCAGAGAGCAGGCAACACTGCATAATCACAAAACAGTATATCAAAAGATGAATAGAGAACATGAATTAATTAATTTAGTGTATTTTCAACCCAAGGCGCAAATATATTAATGAAATACATGAAGAAAGAAAAAAGGAATACAAAAAAAAATGGTTTAGTACTTTATGCATCTGGTGCATGTTGTCCTGAGGATATCCTGAGGGTCCCTGTGGAGGGTGAGGGTGTCCTGATCCTGGAGGTCCTGGGCTGGGCCCCATCATGCTGTGGGCTGAGCCTGGCGAGGGACCTGGGCTTGGGCCCATCATGCCTCCTGGAGATGGCCCTGGGCCCGGGGAGGGTCCGGGCCGAGGTGTCCCTCCCATCGGGGGGTCAGGGGTGGACATCTCTCAGGGGAAACTGGGAATGTGTGCCAGCAGCAAGTACCCCTGTGAAGAGAGATGAGGCGAATTAGGGCAATGATCAGAATCCATCAGTCACACATATTTGTTAACTTAATTCACAGTGCAGTAATCGTTTTAAGTCTAAGTTAGAGTAACCTATGCCACATAATCACATTATTTTAGAAGTGTACTAACCCTTCGAATACAATAGTGAAGAATATATTTTAACTTTAGAAGTCCAGTGTGTAGGATTTTGTGGCATCTAGTGGTGTGTTGCAGATTGTAAAACCCTGCCAAGCGCAAAGGAGAAACTATGGTGGCTGTGAAACTGCCCTATCTAGAGCCAGTGTTTGGTTTATCCCTTCTAGGCTACTGTAGAAACATCAGGGTTCAACATGGCGGACTCCATGAAAGGTGACCTGCTGTAGATAAAAATGGTTCATTCTAAGCTGAATCTAATGATTCTTATTTTCAGGTGGTTAAAGACTAATGAAAACAATTATCTATTACTGAAAATTAAATTTAAAAAAAAAGAAATTATAATATATTCCTGCTAAAAGATTCTCCTAAATGTTACACACTGGACCTTTAAAAAAAAAAAAAAAAAAAAGGGACAGTTCATCCATGTTCATCTTTTATGAAGCACAAGTTCACCAGATAGGGTCGGATGTGATCTGCTGATGCCTGGAGCTACATACCATAATAAGCTCAATGCACTGTATGCAACATAGGAAGAACTCAATCATTGCATCTCCTTCAAACCACCGATACACTGCAAATCACAGTCACACATTAAGTTAATACAGATGGCGGTTAACTCAGACAGAAGCTATCAATAACTTCTGTGGATCATGTGATTATTTTAGAAAAGGGATGCTGCTGTGATGTTTTTGCAAAAGGGCAAACCACACACATAAATTCCTCTCCATTGTTGTCAACTAAAACCAAAACCTCTAAACCACAAGTGATCACAGGAAGTCATAGTTTTCATGTTGCTGTGGGGTGCCCGGTCCTTTCAAATATATCCAATCCTGAACCCCTTGTTAGTTCAAAGTGTGACAGATGCTCAATGGAACAAGATCATTCACAACACTAGCGCCTGACATGCAAGCAACAAATGAGGGTCATGTAAATGTATCTGCAATATGTGAGCTTCCCACACACACACAGACACAGACAGACACAGACAGACACACACACACACACACACACACACACACACACAGTGGGTCACCAAGAGGTCGTGAAAACTGTCCCTACATGGGTCAAAACTATGATTTAAAAGAAAAAGAAACCATGTAGACGAGACTCAATTCAACATGATACAACCCCTGCTGATACTCACACACACCTCTACTAAGAGTGATCGAGAGAGCAGTAACTTTAGCTCAGAGTAAAAACTCTGTTAGCCCAATTGTTGCAATGTTTACATTTACAAGGAAATATCAGTTAGGTTAGCTATTATTAGCATTGGTAGCTTTGCTAGCGTTAGCCAGGCCTAGCCGGATTTAATAGTTAACGTCACATTATGTCCGTAAGCTCGTCGTTTTAACCTCCCCTTTTTTACCACAGCGTAGCAGGGTTTACTTGTATCCACTGGAGAACTGTTGCAGTCGTAAAATGACACTAAACTGATGATAAAGCTACAAAGAACACAAGCCCGACTCAGGCTAGCCTGCTAGCTTAACACAACAACATAAGCTGGCTGCTGACGGTGCCCTAGCATGCTAGTTGAGTTAGCTTAGCCGGGCCACGCTCTCCGAGGCCAATTAGGCACAAAAAAATGTGTTGTTTGTCGAGATGTTCGTCCAGATGCGGCGACATGTGAAAAGGTTAGAGCATCGCTCATCGCTGGAGCTGATTGATCCAACGCGCCTCCCGTACCTTTGGCTCGGTGCTCCGCTCTAAGCACATTTCCAAAAACAATTTTCATTCATTGCACTGTCGCGCCACAGCAGCGGCGCTGTTAATGTCGTCTCTCTCTCTCCTTTTTCCCCCCCTCAACAAAAAAACCACCGTATTGAGGCACAAGTATCGTCTCCCAGCAGCGGAACACACAGACAAAACTGTGTCGACTCAAACGCGACATTATAGTTGACTTACTCGAGTGGTGAAAGGTGATGTTTGAAGTCCTCACCGGTTGCAGCGTCTCTTGGTTTTTTCCTCCTAGCCAGAAACAAAGACCGACCTACCCAGTTGGTTTTTTTCCTTCACCCCCCTCTCTCGGTAGATTGTATCGCAGGGACCCGGCCTGTGTGACTCTGTAGCGCCCCCATCCGCCGCCTCACTCACTTCCCGCATGCCCAGTAAAGGCTGCGTTACAGTGGGGGATGAAAGAGCGAGAAGCCGGTGTGGGGGATGGGAGAGCATTGAGTGTTGTGGAGGAGACAGCGAGAATGATCATTTAACTGCGCGTTTATTTCAACGTGAACACACAAAAATGCTCTGATATGTGCAAAAAGGCGAAGTTTACAAGGCCGAGGAGCATTAGTGGAGACATGGAGAGACAGCAGCAGTCAGATTTCGGTATCTCATTATAGCCAGTTTGTGCTTGTGCTTGGAAAAAAAAACCCACAAATTATTCAGCATCAGGGCTGCAACTAACAATTATTTTCATTATTGATTAATCTCACATTGTAGGTTAATAGATTGTTTGTTCGTCTAAAAAAATGGCATGAGATTAGTGAAAAATGTCCATAAATGTCCCAAAACCCAAGATCACCTCTTTAAAATGCTTGTTTTGTCCAAACAACAGGTCCATACCTAATATTATTCAGTCTATGTGCCTTTAAAACTACTTAAATAATCAAATAATTTATTAATTATTATTATCTACAACAAAGAGGTCCCTTTTATGTTCCTTTTATGTTGGATGGACCTAAAAGTGGGTAAGGGTTTTACCTACAAAAAGTAGGTCATACCATTTCTTCACCTGAATGGAAGAGTTTAATGCTTTTTGTTTTAGTAATCTACATAATTAATGACAACAACACACACATCAGATAAATTCAAACGTACACACCGTCATTATTGTCAGGAATATTATGAAGAACGATTTTAAATGTCTATGTAATTTTTGGCCTGACAAACCGTTATTTACTGCTGCATGTTGGCTGACGTGATCGCTCAGCTTAAGGAAGGTGATGTCAGGTCTGTGTGTCAGTGTCTTTAATCTGCTGGAGCTCTACACTGTGTGCTGCTTGAGAGGAAAACACCAAGTTTAAAAAAAACAACCATTCAGAAAATCTAAAATTACATTTATTATGAAATATTTAATATTATTTTGTTGAATCCTTGTATTTTTCTTTTCAAATCCCTCATAATCGGCACAAAAACCGGAGAAAGAAGGGACAGAGAGGGACTGGCAGTACCAAGACTACAAAAGGAGAGGGGACACTCAGCACTCAGGTGCACAGGCTCAAAACAAGGCCAATCTTTGTGGTGAAGTTGCAGATTGAAACTAACTGAACACCAGTCGCGTATTCATTTGACAACCTGGGAATGAGAGCGGGCTGTGAAGTAGAAACATGGTGAAACACAAAAGGCCGTATCGAGAGCCAGGGTTTGTCTGTTCTGGGCTACTGCAGGAACATGGATGTTTAACATGGCGGACCCACAGCACCTGTAATATTATTATTATTATTATTATTATTATTTTAGTCTGGACCAAAGTGGGGGAACAACCAACAGAAATGTTATTTTGTTATGTTTACCATGTTTGAGATAGTTGGGGGAGGAGACTGCAGTCAGGGAGAGGGTCCAAAGACAATACTTATCTATATATATATATATATATATATATATATATATTACAGTATATAGGGCTGCAGAGGACCTTGCTTTCTTATAAAATAAAAAAAATCTGACCCCTCTCATCACCCCAATAATTTTCATACAGTCCCTGAAAACTCAAAAAGGAATCAAACCGCAATAAATGTATCATCTGACGGTGAACAGAATTAAAAATGAATTCCTTTCCTTTTTTGTTCTTAAATTGTTTATTTGGATAAAAGACAGCAAATATAATCCAGCTTGTAAGAATATTTTCAGTAAATATATTTTTTTTTCCCCACAATGTTTGATTCCTCCAGTAAAGTTGTGCTCTTTTAGTGTTTCTAATGTCTGAGTCACATGTTTAAAGGAATCCAATTTTCTAATCCATTCAAAGGCAGCACTTCCTGTCACATGACATTAAACAGTGACATTGTGTATCTCAGTAAAACCTTAAGTTTGTCCCTGGATGAAATGTATTATTACTATTATTATACTTTCATTCTATTGAATATATTAAAGTAAAAAGAACACAGCCTCATGGATATTTCATGGATAAACACAAATAGGCTGAGATAGAAAAAAACATCCTTCTAAGTCCTTCAGTTGAATATTAAATGAAATTTTCTCATCTTAAAACAATAAATAAAAATTCAAATGAGCACATAACAGCAATAAAAAATATTGTAGTGTCATTATTGATACCTGGCCACTTCATTTTACAAAACCTTTAAAAGGAAGTCCCTTCAGGTTATTGAAGACATTTCGTTCTTACGCTCAGTAGTTGCCACACAGTGTCACACTGTCACATATAGTGTGATCATTGATCACCATTCAGTTCGCCCCTCAGGGCAGATTTGATCTTCTTCTGTTCATAATAGAACAAACTCGTCCAGGCTGTTGCTGGTGTCGACTCTCTTCCGTTCACTCTTCCTCTGGATGTAGGTGATATTGTTTGTGGGCGTTTTACTTCTCTCCTCCTCCTGACTTTTTCCTTCTGCAAATATAAACATGGGGTACGTCCCTGCAGATGTGGAGAGCGCCTATGGGAGAAACAGACGGAACAATAACTCAACTAGCTATGGGAGTGTCAAAATTAATTCCATTAATTTCAATAAATTTGGACCAGGTAAGTCTTTTATATAATCCAACAGCTACACTGGAGCATGTTAACAAGCTAAATGTTCCATGAAAAGAGACCCAAATAACCCAGTCAGATACCTCATAAACAACGGTGCACAGTGATTCAAAGTCCTTCTGGCCTTTAGCATAGAACCCTATGGTACAGCTGGGGTCCATGCGAGAGAAGGACATCTTCCTGGGATATTTACAGTGAAAGGACTGCAAGCGACGGGAGAGGAAACAAAACAAAAGAACCCAAATCAGAAAAAAGGTCTCATTAGATTCAAAGCAAATATTCCTGATGTAGATTGCATCAACTGGGGAAAAAAAAAAACTGTAACACTGATCACCGTTATAATTGAGTGTGTGAAAACTAGTAAGTAAGTGAGCAGAGAAGTCTAGTAAGCTAAAAATAATGGATAAATTGTGCAAAAAAATGAAAGAAATCCACCCTTATAGTTAATAGTGTTAAATAACATCCAGTTATTTAAATAAAAACAACTGGAACATGACTGGTGGTGCTGATGGAGGGGTACTTGAGTGCAGCTGACAGTACTGTGGGGGTACGGCTTTAAAAAAAGGGAACCCTTGGGTTGGGAACCCTTGATTTACATCACGGACTGAGCACAGGTGTCCCATGACGAAACGAAACAAACCAAAAAGAAGAAGAGAAATATGACTTCCTCATACCTCCAAGGGAAAGCTCTCCTTTGTTATATCCACTGTGGGCTGACAGTAGTGAGGGTCCAAGTACAGCAGATGGTCATCTTTTGCACAGCAGGGCCAGAGGAAGAAAAAAAAAAAAAGAAAAGTGAAAGGACTGACATCAAACAGCTGGGCACAGTGATTATGATGTACACTGTGCTGCACACATACCCTGGAAGCCGATGAAGAACAAAGAGTGCTTCGGTTTGCCCCCAATGATTCCAATGCAGCATTGTAATGTCAAGAGTTTCTGTGCAGAAGATGATGAATGGGTTGTTGTTCTTTGTACTTACTTTTCAGACTAGAGAGAAACCCATTCAGGGGGATGCTGATTTATTACTGAACTGTGCGACCACATTGTACACAAGGAGAATGAAGCCTATAATCACACTACTGTAATGAGTTACTTTATAGTAAATTATACTGTAGCTGTACTACTTTTGCTGAAAACCCCCACAATGACCCCACTTTGACCTCATAGACTACTCAGTGAATGCACATAGGAGTGAATGCATAAAATACTTTGACACAAGTGATGTAGGATGGATTGAGCTCTTGTCCTCCAAGTCGCACAGGAACCAGGATGATGACAGACTTCCAGGACTGAGGGGGAGGCCGCTCACACAAACTCCTCACATCCTCCAAGTAGACTGAACAAAGAAAGAAAGAGCCATGGTTCAATAATTCCTCAGTCAAACATTTTTTTTTAAAAGATTATTTCTGGTGCTTTGATCGCCTTTATCAGGCACGAACAGCTGAAGAGAGACAGGAAAGTGGGGAAAGAGAAAGTAGAGAGAAAGCCTTAGTACTTGGGGTGCAAGTTCTACCACAATGGTTCCCAACCTCGGGGGTCAAAGCCTGTTAAGTATGTATGATTGTTAAAAATGCAATACATAATACAGACAGAGAATTGTAAAAAAGTTCCCTAAATTATTAGGATCTCTGATGTAATTCAAAGGAAATTCATCCATATCACTAGTTTTACGCAAACATCCTGCAGTTATTGTTCACTATTTGGGTTCATTGTATGGTTTACCTGTTGTTCTGTACTGTTATTGTTACGCAGTGAATATAATAAATAATAATTAATTAAATATCCATAAAATACGTCACTTGGTCAGAGGTTGTCAGTTTACTCAATGATAGAAAACGGGGTTCTTTAAGGAAAAAGATTGGGGGGGAAGAAAACACACTTTTTTTCTGATCCACAAACAAAGGCTGAGCTGTATTATTATGGTATTGCAGATCATGTAAATAGAAAGCAGCAAAATAAAAAAATATATATAAATACAATCACAGATGATTTAAATCGCCCACTCTCCTCAATAATAGAGGAATGTTTAAATAAGCATAAAGCACTGATCCATTTCTCTGTTTGTACAGCTGTGGGGAAACTGCTGCATTGGCTCTGCCCTTCAGAGGAGAGAGCAAATACACTGATGAAAGAAATTACTCACTGGTGCAATCTTGTGCAACATACACGACTAGATTGGGAAGGTCTGCCGATGCTGCCACAGCTTTCCTGAAACAAGATGATATTTACTGTAGGATGTTACATTTTGATAAAAGTTGGTTAGGAAAACTGGACTTCAGGTCTCACCGGAGGATATGTGCCACAATAGAAGGTCCATACCAGTCCCCTGCTTTCTTCCCTGAGCTTTTGCCCAACTCCACCAGCTTGTGTATCCCAAATGGGGCTGTGGGATGGTCTGCAAACCATGATACCACCCTCCTGTGTGAAGCCTCCATGGTTCTGTTCAGGCAGGAATCCAAGCTCAGTTTGCGACCCCTCTTGCTGGGCCCTTCCTTTAAATTCAGTCCACGCTCTGCACTGTCTGTGGTACGAATCACCAGCAGGTCCATGTCATCTTTAACTGCATGGTGGCTCACAGACCAAGTCCAACCTTAAAATGATGTAAAGATAAAGTAATATGACATGAATTATCAACATGAAATGGTTTATCATATGACCTGGACAGACTGCTTTGTTCTCCGTTGTTATAAACACACAGGAAAGTCACAATATGTGATGCAAAGGTGGAAGGAACAAAATGTACTGTAACAGAGCTTTTGATATTTTAAGTACATTTGTATCATTGTTATTTCATCTTACTTACACTTTGTGAGCATTTTGAAGTCTACCTTACTTTAAACATGGCAACACTGCACTGCTGTACAAAGCCCAAACTCAGTAACTACACATTTGGTCAAAACTGAACCAGAATTTGACTTTTTGACAAATAAATGTTTATCCTTTTGACCTCACACAACATTTACAGGAAAATGTGAAAAACCAAACTGCAGTGTCTGCACTCCTGGTAGGTAGCACTAGCCGGAGGGCAGTCACTGCTAGCTTTAGCTAAAGCTAATTTATAGACTTCTTCTGACTGGTTTCCTGTAACTGAAAAATCTATTTGGATGCGCAAACATCTTAGTAACTAAGTTAAACACATTAGTAAGGCATTAGCTAGATATGATCTGGACTAGCCCTGCTAAAGGCTTACTAGCCTATCTTAGATTATCTGAGTATATCCGACAATGATGTGATACATTTGTTACATGTTGTGTACCAGAATTAGTCCTTCCCATGAGATCAGACAGTTCAGATGACAATATTTTTATGAATGTGTGTCTATTGACCTATCCAGCTGCAGGTGACATTGCCGTGTGCCTGTGTGTGTGGTCACCTGGTGGCATCAGGTGCAGGAGCAAGCCTTGCGCCAGCAGCATCTGCCCCGTACGTAGAACACAACCCCAGCCGCTGTCGGTGGTCAGGGAGCTGCCTGCCAGTGAGGGGAAACCCCGTCTGTACGTCAGCCACAGGAGAGATGCAAAGGAGCGACGGAAACGCTCTCTCTCACCTGACACAGTTACAGAGCTTGAATTAAAATTAAATAAAAACTTTGGTTTTAGATTCACATGTAGGAGATAATTTCAGGTGGTGCAAGGGCCCACTGCCCAAGTCCTTACCTTGATCCTTGAGTTCATAGGATTGTCCGTGCATGATCACAGGTGAGCTCTTGCTGAATTTGGATTTCTGCTTCAAAGACCAGCCTGAAACATTAAAGGGGAAAGAGACACAGTTTCATATCCCAAAATAAAGGAGAACAATCAGATCTGCTCTTATTACACAGTAACAATATAAAAGAGTTACTATGTCAGAGCAGTAAAACAGACCATATTTGACGCTGTTCCATGCTGAGACCAACTTGGATTTGAGTTTGCCTCTGTCCTCTCCCTCCTGGTCTTCCCTGCTCACTTCCATGTGCTGAGGCCCAGCAGACTCAGTAGAGAGGAAGAGCCAGTCGTCCATTAGATCATCTGTAGGAGACTGGCCCACGCAGTGAGCCGAGGAGGTGCTGGGATTCATAACAACTGGAGATGACAGAGACTGAGCGTGAAGAATTGCTCCTTTTCACAGCAGCAGCCTACGCAGACATAAAGGGGGCATTAGACAACATTATATACATGTGACACAAGAACGTGACGCAAACGCGTACAGTAAATTATATTATTGTGTCTTGAAACAAACATGTTGTGACACCAGAGCTCATTAATGGTTAATGTTAACCACAGCAAAGTGAATAATTCTCCATGACAGTAAGTAAAGAGAGAAAACCATGTGACTGCATCCTGTGACTCAAGGAATTTCAGATATGTCAATTTAGCTGCAGCAGGAGAGGTGCTGGTAAAAGACTGTTCTCCCCCACATTTGGCTTCCCTCCTCTAAAACATCAGTAGATACAAGACAACTGCAACAAACAGGGTTCACTGACACAAATGTGTGCAGTTAAACAGGTATACATTGTATGTCAGTAATGTAATTAGTGGTTGAAACGTACTCAGATCTTCAAGCGAAGTAAATGTAAAAGATAGTATATTAGTTTTAGTATTAGTTATGCATTGAAAAACTTATTAAGTATTATAATAATCAGCACTATTATCATATAGGATACTATTTGATTGTTGATACTGATGGATCAATGTGTAAGATAGTAGGGAGCTCCTATTTTAGTTCAGTGGATCCCTACACAGAAGTCAGACCTTGTCCAAAACAAGATAAACCAGAGTGAGAGACCAGAATCCAAAACGGTTGGGAACCACACGTTTAATCTTTGAATTTCATCAGCTCATCATAATGTGTTTTTGAGATAAAATCTTCATCTGAAAAGTAACAAGTAACTATAGCGGTCAGATAGATGTAGTGGAGTAAAAAGTACATTTCCCACTGAGATGAAGTAGAACTATGAAGCAGCATAATATGAAAATACACTTAATAAGCAAAAGTACCTCAGGATTGTGCTGAAGTACAGTAGTTGAGTAAATGTACTTAGTTACTTTCCACCACTTAGTGTAATACATTCAAAAATATCCTGTTAAAAATAAAGTTTTTATTAATTTTCCATGAACTCATAACTATATAATAATAATAATAATAATAATAATAATAATAATATTCCCCACATGAAAATTAATATTAAAGTAAAATGTTATTATTAGCTCCTTTGTCATTTAAACCCTCATTCACGTTACTTTCATACAGTATACTGTTTATATAACATCCTACATGATTTGTAGTGCTGATAGAAAATAAACGAGTTTATCATTTCCAGTTAACTAACTAATAAAGATGAAATGTGATTTAAAAAAAAACAACATTTTAACTGCTGGTTAGACAACATAACAACAAATGGTGGCCATTGTTGAAGTCTACGGGATTAATAAATAACATGAAGCCCTAATTACTGTACATTCATTTAAAAGCTGCATGCTATCTGCCTAACCTGCAAATATGGGACACTGCAACTCAAACATAACTCAAGGTCGAAACATGTTTTGTGTAAATTGTCCAGTTTTCCTTTGCTGACACTAACTTTTGAGCATCACAACTTCAGAGCTCGTACACTGACAGCCAGAGGATTTATTCAAATATCGATGCATTAAATTCATCTTTTACCTTCATTCGGGAGCCGTCATTGTGTCTCCTTTGATCAGAGTAAGTCATTGGATGAATTTCACTGAAGGAGTCGGTCTGTTTTCGGTATCAAACAAACAATCTCCAGTCGTGTTAGAAAAGCAGCAGCGTAATAAATATGCACTCACTTCCTGTTTATACTGGTCACGTATTAGTGCTGCTGTGATTGGTCAACAGAGGACCAATCACTTTGTACCCGTCATGTTGGGCAGGAACTCGTTCGTAATAATATTACTGTAAAAATATGACAGTTACCCCTCTAAAAAATTAATTATAATTATTAGTTCCAATATCATATATGAAAAATATATTTTGTTGTTTTTTGTCACCTCCCTAATTTAAAATCCAATTACATCCTTGGATTAATTGGGACTTTTCCTGGTTAAATAAAAAATAAAAAAATATAAAAATTGAAATAATGGAGGAAATTAGCTTTGAAGATGGAAACAATTACATTCAGCAGCTGGAAATATTTCCATTACTTTGATTTTAACAAACAAAACTGGACTGTTATTGTCTAAAGTTTTATCTTCACTACCATTCAAAAGTTTGGGGTCACCCAGACAATTTCATGTTTTCCATGAAAACTCACTTTTATTCATCAAATGAGTTGCAAAATGAATAGAAAATATAGTAAAGACATTGACGAGGTTATAAATAATGATTTTTATTTGAAATAATAATTTTGTCCTTCTGGAGAATTCTCCATTTGCAGCAATTACAGCCTTGCAGACCTTTGGCACTCTAGCGGTCGATTTGTTGAGATAATCTGAAGAAATTTCGCCCCACGCTTCCTGAAGCACCTCCCACAAGTTGGATTGGCTTGATGGGCACTTCTTACGTACCATACGGTCAAGCTGCTCCCACAACAGCTCAATAGGGTTGAGATCTGGTGACTGCGCTGGCCACTCCATTACAGACAGAATACCAGCTGACTGCTTCTTCCCTAAGTAGTTCTTGCATAGTTTGGAGGTGTGCTTTGGGTCATTGTCCTGTTGTAGGAGGAAATTGGCTCCAATCAAGCAAAATGGAGTGATAGCCTTCCTTATTCAAATTCCCTTTTACAAATCTTCCACTTTAACAGCACCAAAGCATCCCCAGACCATCACATTACCTCCACCATGCTTGACAGATGGCGTCAGGCACTCCTCCAGCATCTGTTCACTTGTTCTGCGTCTCACAAATGTTCTCCTGTGTGATCTAAACACCTCAAACTTAGATTCGTCTGTCCATAACACTTTTTTCTAATCTTCCTCTGTCCAATGTCTGTGTTCTTTTGCCCATCTCTTAACCTTTTCCTTTTATTGGCCAGTCTCAGATATGGCTTTTTCTTTGCCACTCTGCCTAGAAGGCCAGCATCCCGGAGTCGCCTCTTCACTGTGGACGTTGAGACTGGCGTTTTGCGGGTACCATTTAATGAAGCTGCCAGTTGAGGACATGTGAGGCGTCTATTTCTCAAACTAGAGACTCTAATGTACTTGTCCTCTTGCTTAGTTGTGCACCGGCCTCCCACTTCTCTTTCTATTCTGGTTACAGCCCGTTTGTGCTGTTCTGTGAAGGGAGTAGTACACACCGTTGTAGGAAATCTGCAGTGTCGTGGGAATTTCTCGCATGGAATAGCCTTCATTTCTCAGAACAAGGATAGACTGTCGAGTTTCAGAAGAAAGTTCTCTTTTTCTGGCCATTTTGAGAGTATAATCGAACCCACAAATGCTGATGCTCCAGATACTCAACTAGCTCAATGGAAGGCCAGTTTTATAGCTTCTCTAAACAGTTTTCAGCTGTGCTAACATAATTGTACAAGGGTTTTGTAATCATCAATTGGCCTTTTAACACGATTAGCTAACACAATGTACCATTAAAACACAGGAGTGATGGTTGCTGGAAATGGGCCTCTGTACACCTATGTAGATATTCCATTAAAAATCAGCCTTTTCCAGCTAGAATAGTCATTTACCACATTAACAATGTCTAGACTGTATTTCTGATTAATTTAATGTTATCTTCATTGAAAAAAAACAGTGTTTTTCTTTCAAAAATAAGGACATTTCTAAGTGACCCCAAACTTTCGAACAGTAGTGTATATATACCGTCAACGTTTTATCTAAAAATAAAAGTCAGACAAAACTAGTTTTTTTTCCTGCATTTTATTACATTTCTTCACTATAGGCTTTTTTGCATTGGTTTTTCACAACAGTGGCTAGTAAATATGTAGCAATGTAATGGACAACAACAGTCAAGAGATAAGTTGTTGTTGTAAAAAAGTCAAACACTTGGACAAAGGTGGACATGACAGCAATATTACAATTTCAGACTTATGGAATAACAACTTCAAAACTGCACACAATGGGGTAGCAACAGAGATTTGGTAGATTTCTCAGTCTAAATGTAAAATTTATAAATAACTAATTTCAGTAGTAAAGCAGAAATTCACCAATTGATGACATGTAAAAAAAATGTTTGAATAAATAAAAAAAAATTGATAAATAGAACAAATAGAAAAGTAATAAAATAAATATACAAGATAATTAAATAAAAAATATTTGACACAAAATAAAGTGCAATTTTCTCACATCACACACAAAAACCCAGCTGTTTAAAGTCCAAACAGTGGGTTAATGTCTGATAACCACTACATCCTAATGGATAAAATAAAGACTTTTTGACTGCAAACCTCATCTGAAACCTAAATGTGTTCATCGACGAAAGACTGATGCATCAGAATAATAATGTATGAAATGGAAAGATCCACAGGCAAAATGTACACCTATCTGTCTTTGTACCTCAGGACTTAGGGTGTCATGTGATGTCGTCCACAAGGTGGCAGTCTAAGACAGGTCTGAGCCTGGTGTCCCAAAACTATCAAGATCATTTTTCTGTAATACACAAGTACAAACAAGACCTCACCACTAAGATGCTCTCAACATATCTACTCCTGGCTTTGTGTGTAGTCTACTACTGTTTCACTGACAAGCGTGCTCAGTTTTATGGAACTGGGCACTGTTGGATTGCATATTATTATACATTTGTAAACAGAAAAAAAATCACATTATCCCTAAATTAAAAGACTGGCACTTTCCTTCACACGTAACATTATACACAATATACCATACATCTGCATAAATAGAAAAGAATGAGTGAAAGAGCATTTCTAGCCTAGTCACCTATAAGTGCTGCTTTCATAATGGTACTTTACGCACTTTGTCTCCCAACACACTAGTATATTCACTCAATATAGTCTAAAACATATCATTGCACATTTCACTACGATCAACGGAGACAACGTTTACAACACAAAGTGTTAGCTCGGCTTATTGCAACCCTTTCCTCTCTCTTCTCCTCTTGTCTGAAGCACAATGTAAACTTAGTTAATTGGGGACACCAAAAAATAAATAAATAAATAAATAAAAACTGGCATTATTAGCACATTGCATAGTGTCCCTGTGCAAGTTCATCTAATCTACCTCTTTCAATTCCTCTGAAATTCAGCCCTTAAACAGATCTGAAGCCAACCAGCTCTAAGTCCATTGCTGCAAGCATTTTTGTATCTTGGTCCAGTTTCCAGTATGTTTGTTATATTCCTCACTACATGATCCAAGCCTGAACTCTTTTAGTAACTGAACTCTAAGGGAATACAGTTTATTAATTATTTTACAACTCAAACTAAATGATGGCACTGGAGCTGATCTGAAATGTGGGTAATGCCCGTTTATAACAGAATCCAGCTTGTTTACACATAGTTAACAGTTTGCTTGTTGTTGTTGTTGAAAAGTTGTTCACAGTGTTCACCACCTTAAGGTCTGCTTTATATTTTTCATCTTTTGTTTTTTTTTTAAATATTCTCTCATTTGCCATGTACAGTGTCAGACATGCATTAAGACATATGCATTTTTTTTCTATATACAACACATTGTGATGAACATACAGTACATACACAAGCCTACATTATGAAACCATGAGCGCACATTTTCCAACATGGCTAATGCATCTTTGTTCACATCTTATGTGTCTACATGTCACATGTCATCTATTTGGTGTTATTTCTTCAGGCATTCACATCTCCCCTCCAACCAAAAAGTCATGTTAATTCATGATATGTCAGTGTGATGCTACAGTAAAAGGCATTACATGGGAGAGTCTGGCTCTTTCTCAAGCTCTCTTATCACGAATGATGCTTGGAGCTCCGACTGTTTCCTTTATCAGTCTGGGCGGTGCCGGTGCCGGTGCTCACTGAGGCCGCTGTCTGCGCCCCCCGGCGGCCACCCCCGGACGAAGCCTCTGGTTTTCCTGCCGCGTTTCCTCGCTTCTCCTCACTTGATTTGGAGGTGTCTTTTACCTTGGCCCCCTCTTGCGATGCCCCTTTCATCGGCCCAAGCACCGTTTTGGCCACGCTCGTGAGCTGGGTGACAAAGCTGGTTTTGTCCCCCGGAGACATAGGGCGAGACTTGCTCGAGCAAGGTGAACCCGCATTGGAGGAGGGCGACATGGGATTCTCTTCCAGGACCTCCAGGTGGGCCCTCTCCTCCTTGGCCCCGCGGTAACTGTTTGATACCTTCTCCACTTTGGATCTGGTGGCAGCAGGCACATGAGCTGCAGGGTGGCTTTGAACCTGGCTGGGAACTGGGGGGTGCAGGTCCTTTGACTTTAGGCGTCTCAGTTGCTTTATCAGCGGTTTTATCACTGCCACCGATGCCTCCTTTCTCAACCGTCTCTGCGCCTTTACGTGGTGGCTTGGACGGCTCTGCAGATGATACTTTCTGTATGTTACCTTTGTCTGTACTTGCAGTACCTTTCACTTTCTCCTCAGTCTTCTCCTGAGCTTTGGTTGCCGGTCCGCTGCCTGTCTGTGTACTCTGCTGCTTGCTGTCTTGTTGTTGGAGGGCTTTTGATATGCCGGGAGTTAAGATTTTCTCACTGACTTTACTCTTGGAGACTGTTGCCTCAGAACTTGAGCTGCTTGCAGTTTGAGGTTTGTCCCCTGGGCTAGACTTGGCCTCTTTAGTGGATGAAACCACTGCTGGACTTGACTTGGTCTCCACCACTGCTCCACTTATGTTTTTCTTCAGGACCTCAGCATTGGATAATGATTTACTTGTGTCAACAACACTGGTCTTGGACTCAGCTTTAGTAGCCAT